CGGCGGGCCAGGCGCGGGCGCGGCCGAGCTGCTTAAGGCCTGGCAGCCGGCAGAGCCCGGACCAGGGCCCTTCTCAGGGGTGCTGTCCTCTTTCCACCGGAAGCCCGGCCCCGCCCTGAAGTCCAATCTCTTCTAGCTGCGTGACCCTGGAGGCCCCGGGCCTGCCCTCAGAGAAGGCCCCAGTCCCGCCAGGACCTAAGTCCCTCCCGATCCCGGCTACCTACCTGGAAGTCCCCAACCGCCCCCAGCCCCACTGTTTCTGGCCCTTCGGGTACTCTCCCCAACTTTGGAGACCAAGTTAGGGCCACGCTCGTTCCCACCCACCCCTGTCCAACAAAGCCGGATGCTTCCTACTGGGACACCTTCCAGGACAGCCCGAGCCCCTTCCTGTACCTTAAACCTTGGAAGCGAGATCAGATGACACCGGTCTCTAACGCTGTCCCTGAAGGAGGGTCCTCAAGGAGAAGTGGCCGGACATGGAAGCAGGCTGGGTCACGCACACCTCACCCTGGTGACCACCAGTGCCCGCCCATCCCTCCCTGGGTCCCACCCACAGCTGGCGGTCGTTGTCAGCGAGATGGGCCCTGGCCTGGAGTCCACTCATCCCTCCCGTGTCCCCTCCCCTCCCCAGCCGCAGCTGGAGCCAGAGGGCAGGCTGGCCAGAGCGGTGGGCAGCTGCCTGGGCACGGGAGAGAGGGGCTTCCCCTTTATTCTGATTTCTGTTTCCTTTGAAAGACTTGTCTGTAATTTATTGAGGTGAGTTCTGCAATCCAAATAAAACTTAATTTATTGAAGAAGACATCGCGTCGGCAGCCCTTCTGAGCGTGCGGGATGGGAACCGGGTAGCTGTGAAACTCAGTCGCAACCTGCGAGGAACCCTTGGGCTTGGCCAGCAGCGTCCCACCAGCGCTGGGCGCTATACCAGGCAGAGGCAGCAGCTCCGACGAAGCAGACTGCCACATCATGGTGACGACCCTGCCCTCCCAGACCACCCTGATATTAAGGTGCCCTCCCTCCCCGCCCCCACGCAGAAACCCTTAAATAAACCTCAGCCCGGTCTTCGGGCTTTTCCTTCATTTCCGGACATATACCCACGAGGTGGGTGAGTGGGTGGGGGGAGGTCAGAGCTGAGTCCCCGCCCCCTATGGTTCAGGCCCGTTGGGAGCAGCAGACAGAACGGTGGAAACGGAGCCCAAACTCCACTGCTCCCCGTGGGCATCCCCAGGACAGTACATAGGGGTCTAGGGAGGGAGGGCAGCACCAAAGTAATCAAGGCTCGTGGTAACCGTGGCAACTGACCCCAGAGCCCTAGGTCTATGGAAGTGGGGGGTGGGGAAAGAGGGCCGGGCAGGATGTCCCAATTACAACTGATTGGGTATTTTGGGTAGTGGGGAACACGGCTCCCCAATAAATAGGCAGAAAGAAGCATTGCCCCGCCCTCATGACTTTTCAACCCGACTATGGCTGGGCCTTGGTGAGCCGGGGCAGAAGCTAGCGCAGTCCGCAGCCTTCCCGAGCCACCGCTGTCACTTGCTGAGCTGCAGCGTGTCCAGGAGGAGGCGCTTGTGAGCAGGGTCCTGCACGCCGGCTTCCTCCAGGTCTTCCTCCGTGATATCGCTGCGAAGGGCAAATTGAAACCCGGTGTTCAGCGATAGGCTCCGAAGCAGCCCGTAGCCCCGCCCCCGGGGCCAGCCCCACCCCACCCGCCTCCAGCCCCGCCTCCACCTGAGAAACTCCAAGTCGTCCCAGCCATTGTGCACCAGGCCCTCCTCATAGCGTTCCAAGCCGATGGCCCGCAGCCAGGCGCCCATGCCCGCCTCGCCCAGCCCGCCGGCCCGCCCGCCCTGCGGGCAAGAAGCCTGAGGGAATAGGGGGTGTCAGGAGGAAGCACACAGGGCGCCCACAGACCCAGACACATGGAGGCACGTATTGGCAGCCACACTCCACTGCATGCTCTGGGGGAAGGCAGCAGGGTGGGCTGGGATCATTTCGTGGAATGAGTGCTGGGGGTGGAAGGTACCACAGACCAAGGGCGCAGCGCCCGCACGTACACACACACACCTCAGGTGGGCACAGCCGGACGCCCCTATCCCACACACCTCCTCTGCCAGGTCCTCCTGGATGCTCTCTCGAATGCGGGGTGGAGGGAAGCTGAGGGGCCGGCCGTAGTCCGAGGGCAGCCCTCTTGGTGGCTGCAGCTCCAGGGGGCTTGGGAGGAGCGCTGAGCGGCCAGGCCCAGCGGGGGCATAGTCTACCTCGCTCAGTGTCTTGGCCATTTGCAGCACAGAGCAGGAGCGGTCATCCCCACTGGCTACCTCCCCCAAGAAAGTGCTGGCGGAAGAGGGTCCTGGGGGCAGGGGGGGCCTTGGATGGGCCTTGGGAGGTGGTGGGCCCCGGGCCTCACCCACACCCCGACCCCGAACCACTGGCCCTGGTAGAGGATCCAGGCTGGGGGGCAAGAAGATAGCCGAGTCTGGTAGTGGTGGGGGTGGGAAGTCTGGAGGGGGCAGTGTGCCCCCAGACTCTTCATCTGACGAGCTCCCCTCCCCGACACGGAGGGGCCTATGGCGTCCCAGCTGCGGAGCAGGCACTGTGATGGCCACTTTGTTCTTGGTGGCAGGTGGGACCGGAGCCCTGGCAGCTGAAGGTGGCTCCTGGGGCAGCAGCTGGTGGGGGACCCCCTCCAGGACGTAGTAGGCAGGGTTATTGAAGCTGTTCTTGGGTGGGGGCGCTGCCACCCCTTCCAGGTCTGGAGTCCCCTCTGGCTTCAACCTGGTTTCACAGGAGGATACTAAGTCAGGACCCAGGAATGCAGGAACCCAAGGTGAAAGCCTACCTAGGCCAGTAGAAGAGGAGGAGACAGGCCCAGTGCATGTGGATTCGAACAAGCCACACTCCCTCTCTGACCTGGGGCTTCCTCTTCTCTAAAACCTGGGAGTGAGGCAGATAAATAGATCAGCCCCAGTGGGTTAAGCGTTGGGCTGTTAACAGCAAGGTCAACAGTTCAAAGTCCCCAGCAGCTTGGGAGAAAGATGAAACTGTGTGCATAAAAGATTTACAGGCCCGGAAACCCTCTACCAGGGTCACCAGCAGCCATCGGCTTGCTGGCAGTGAGTTTGGCTTGGCTTCCCTTAAACTCTCTTTGTCTCATTTGCTAAGATCCCAGAACTTCCTTCACGTCACATGAAAGTCTCACAACCAAATCTTACATCGGTGGAGTGAAACCTAAACTCAAGGCTGGAATCAAAGGGCAATAAAGGTCTTCTGGGTTACAAAGACCCTTAGCAAGGCCACCAAAGGCACCCGAGGTCCGTCCACTGATGACCTTCCGTCAAAGGTTCAGGTACGTGGTATTCAAGCCCAGGCATTAAACAAGGTGACTGATGACAGCTAGAGAGGAGTGAAAAAGCTCCAAGGAGTTGTAGTTCAGTTCAAGTAACAGTTGCCTGTCACTGGAAACAAAGTGTGATGCACAGAAAAGCCAGTTCTATACGATGTTACCATGTAGAAGTTACTATGTAGAGAAAATGTTTCCTGGCCCAGTAAGTTTGGGCAACTATATTAAACAGAGTTTAAAAAAAGAAAAAGAAAACAGTTTCCTTCCTGGGATAAGCTCAGAGCTTATACTAATGTGGCCGGTGAATCTCTAAAAGACTGGCATGAAGTGTTTCACGCTCCTCTAACCATAAAGCCTTGGGAGTGGGCGCCGTGTCAGGCAGTGAGGGCTGAGCAGAATGCACCTCAGGAAAGCCCTACGATGCCATGGGCCTTCCCCAAACAGAGGCTCCAGCTCAGTCTGTGTACATGGAAGAAGGGAGCTGTGTGGAGAACCACTTCTCAGTCTGTTTTAAAGGCAGACTGAGGGGAAAGGTCGACTGTCCCCCTTTGACCGGGGGAGCCATACCAAAGGGAGGTCCAGGGGCCTGAATGCCATGGACGGCGGAGGTGCCCGGGCTCTGAGACCCCAAAATGCCATGGCTAAAGTGGGGCAGTGATGGGGAGGGGTGGGGGGCAGGTTCCTCTTCTTACCTGGAGCTCAAGGGCTCCTCCCGGAGAGCTGCTCGAGGTGGGGCTGGGGGCCTCCCAGCTGGTGGTGGTTTCTCAGGTTCTTCAAATAACCTGGACAGGGGACAGGAGGCCTCTGTGGGGGCTGGCTTGCGGCTCCCTGGCCTGCTGGGGGATGTGCACAGGGAAAGAGAGATGAAGTGGGGGCTGACACAGAGCTCCCAGGTGCAGGACACCTACCAGGGCCCCTACTCACCTGGGCTCCTGGCCGCCCCGGGACCCCGAGGGTGCTTTGCCCTTAGCCCCAGCCTCGTCTTTGTCAATGCTGATCCACTCTGTGGGTGGGGGAAGGGAAATTCACCACCCACCAGCCATGGCTGCAGGCCGCCCTTCCAAGTATCTCAGGGATTCCAATATGTGCCCCCCGCCCCCATCCTCCACTAGCCTCCACCCCATGCCCACACTCTTGCCCACTGGAGCCCCCACCGTAGAGCCGCTCACGGGTGCCCATGCGCTCCGTGGGCACCCGGACCTGCATGGAGCCCCGGATGTTGCCTGTCTCCTCGCCGCGGTGGGACAGGAAGGTCAGGAACTGCTGGGCTGTGCTGCCGATCATGGATTTAAGCGCGACCACACACTCTCCTGGAGGGCGGGTGGAGGGACAGACAAACCAATGGCCAAAGCTTGATGGACCCAGGCTGGGCCTCCTGTCCCCAACAGCACCCCTCCCACCTCACCATAGGACTCATAGCCATCCATGGACTTGACGGTAAGCAGCAGGTGCTGGTCTTGCAGGTACTCAATATCAGCCAGGATCGGCTTCAGCTGGTGAGTGGAGAGACCCAGTGAGGAGCCAGCCAACCCCCACACCCTGGGTCCTCCACCATCACTCATAAAACAAAGAGAAACAACCTCACTGCCATCGAGTGGATGCCGACTCAGAGTGACCCTGTAGGATAGAGTAGAAGTGGCCCTGGGAGTTGCTGAGACTAACTTTTTAGGAGGAGAAAAAGCCCTGTCTTTCTCCGACACAGAGGCTGGTGGTTTTGAACCACAGACCTTGAGATTGGCAGCACAACAGGCAACCGCTAGGTCACCAGGGCTCCTACACTCACTCACAAGCAATTCCTAAGTGCTTCAGGTAGCAGGCCCAGCCCAGCCCTGCATGGGCCTTTCATAGCCCGTCACACCACTGTCACTAATTTCCTGCATTCTCAGGTGCTAGCATAGGGCCTGACATTTGGAAAAGTCTCCAAAAGTATTTTTTGAGGCGAATGAATACACTGCCACTTGGTCCCACACAACCACACACTGTGCCCTGATCCTCACTCTCACCAAGTCAAACAGACACATGTGCAGGAACAGGAACAGGTGCCACTGGGTCCCGCCTGCCCGAAACAGGCTTCCACCCTGCCATCTGCCTCTCTGTGCCAGTGCCCCCAAGTCCAGGCCCTGCCCATACAAGCTCACCGTGGGCAGTTGGCGCGAGGACCACTGCACCTTGAGGAAGTTGATGTTGTCGCTGCTCTGGGCATCATTCTCAAAGCTCTTCTTGTATTCTGGTGGGGAGGTGGCACCCGGTTGAATGCCTCCATCTCCTCTGGCCTCCCCTGCCCCTTGGCCCACACCCCGCCCCGGGCCCCGCCTCTGACCCTCCAGGCAAGTGGAGTAGAATTCAATGAAGAACTTGGTGCGGCTGGCGGTCTTCACAATGGCCTCGATACTCTCAAACTCGATGTAGGCCTGGTCCGAGGTCTTCGAGAGTCCTGAGGGGCACAGGGAGGAGGGCAAGAGGGAGTTACAGGAAGAACAGGACCGGGAGGCTCACAATGGCCTCGATACTCTCAAACTCGATGTAGGCCTGGTCCGAGGTCTTCGAGAGTCCTGAGGGGCACAGGGAGGAGGGCAAGAGGGAGTTACAGGAAGAACAGGACCGGGAGGCTGAGCCCTGAGACAGGAAATCAAAGATCTTGGCAGCAGAGACCCTAACCCTGTGCAACCAACAGAGAGACCCCTGAAACCCAAAGCAAAGAGCCAAACCAAGGATGAAAGGGTCATCCAAGGGCTGAGGGTCAGAACTACCTGCGGGGAACACACATCAACCCTCCCCACGCTGCTTGGCACACTCGTGGGCACACACGCGGCCCCAGGCAGAGTCATGTCTACATTTGCCCTCATGTACGCTTTCAACGCACGCATGCCTGGGACGGCCCTCACACCTCAAGTATTTGGAAACCCCCACACGTGTGTACACGCACCCAGGACTCGTGCACGCTTACTCGGGTATCCTTAGACTGATGCTCACCACCATGCCACCACCTGTGCCCACACAGATGGAGGCCCTGGCCAGAAGCATGCCCAGAGCACTCGCCTTTTTTGGAGATGAACTGAGATGTGACTCCGACCTCAAATGTCCCAAACACAGGGGAGTGGTCACTGGTGACAATGTCATCGGTGCAACCTGAGGAGGGAACAGCAGGAGTGGGGGTCGGGGAGGAGTCCACCTCTCTCTCCCGGCTTCCAGAGCCAGGGCTATCGGGATAGTGAGTGCCTGGACACTGGGTGTCCCCCCACCCTCCCCCCACGTGCCAATCCAGCAGCTCTGACCATAGGAATTGCAGATGATGTGGGTTTCAGGGTAGGATTTCCAGAGGATCCGGTCACACCATGAAGGCACGTTGGTCCGGATCTGGGGCAGAGGATGGCAGGGTGGTCAGAGCCGACAGGTGGGGGTTTCCCAGCATGGGCCCCTCCCCCAGGCAGACAACACCTCACACTCCTGTCCCACCAGGATAGCACCCCGCTCCATTCTTGAATGCTCACCAGACCCAGGATCACCCCCCAAGACCTTGGAGAAGCTGAAGTGGTACCGGCAGAAGCCGGGCCCTCTACCTCACACATGTTCTGATCCACTAAGCCCTGGGAGGCAGGGGGTTTGCCCAAGGCCAACCCTGCTCTTCTCGCTCACCCCAGTTGGCTTCTGCTTGTGCCAGGCATACGTGTCTCGGGAACCCCGCTCGTAGCGGTAGGTGGGTGGGAAGGAGATCTCCTCCTCACCTGGGGAAGGTAGGCAGCAGGTCATGGCCCTGAGAACCTGGGGGTTCGGAAGGCCCCGAGCCCACAGGGACCACCCACGGCATCCCACACTCACTGAATCGCAGGAAGACTTTGTGCTTCTCCCGCTCCAAGTTGAGCTGGTCCACCCGAAGCAAGGGCTCGAACTCCTTCCTGCTGATGTAGTTCAGGATCTCCTGGGGTGAGGATAGAGAGCCTGGACCCATCCCTCCTGAGCCAGGGCCAGGTATGCCGGACCACCTACCTGCCCTGCCCTCCACCCAGCTGCCCGCCGGCTCCTGCCAGACCCCGCCCGCACCTGGATGTCCATGTCTAGGCGGTAGTTGAGGTCCCCGAACCAGAAGAGGTGAGTGAAACGCAGGGAGATGTCAAAGGCACTGAGCTGCCGGTCGCCCAGCGAGAGCAGCCGCAGGATGTCCAGGTAGTTCTGGTTCCGCCTAGGGTGGCGGGGGTCCCCAGGGTCAGGACTCAGGGACAGGAGGAAAGGCAAGGGCGTCTCTGGGAGCAGGGGCGGGATAGGGACTGGGGTCCTGGAGGCCAGAGAGGAGCTGGGGACAAGGCTAGAGACAGAGGGGCCTGGAGGTGGGAGTGAAGGGAGGAGCAGGGGGCCCTGGAGACAGAGATGTGGACGGTCATATGCTGAGGTGTGGGGGGAAAGACGAGCTCTCAGGGGAAGAGGGGCTCAGGGGTATGGAGGCTAGGAGGAAGGCACCCCTCACCGGGCAGTCTTCTCGTTCCCTGAGGTGAGGTGGCAGTTCACAAAGCCAAAGGAGGTGCCATTGAACATGAAAGAGACGCCCACGGCCCCCTTGTTCCCTGTCGAGGCAAATGAACGAAGTCAACCCGGGTCACCCTTGGAGGACTCCCGCCTCTCCCTCTGGGCCCATGAGGCTGCACAGGGGAGAGCGCTGACTGCCCTCCAGAAGGACAGAGGCAGGAGGGCTTGGAGCACATCCCCAGCTGCCCCCGAGGTGCACCTCGTCAGGAAAACCTGAGGCAGGCAGGCAGTCTGTGAACAGACCCTCGAACTCTCCCTACACCTGCAGTCGCCGGAGCAAGGGGCCCCAGGCCTGCAAATCAGGAGACCTGGCCCCGGGTCTGCCCTAACCCACCCTCCGAGCTGTGCAGACTTGGGCAGACTGCTCAACCCTCTGAGCTTTACCGTCTGTAAAAAGAGGGTAGAAGTCCTGCCCTGCCCTTCCTGGTGGAACTGGAAAAGATTTGGAGCATGACTCTGCTTCACAAAGCTCCGACCCCCCCGCCATCACGGGGAGAGCCTGGCCCCCTGAGAGGCAGCAGCAGGTGTGGACAGAGGGACCCTGCCCACCGAGCTCACCCAGGGTGTTGGCGATGCCCGTCTTCACGCTGGATGTGCTGACGTGACTGATGCGGTTCTCATGCTCTGGCTTGACCAGCACGGCTACCTTGATGTTCCACAGGGACTGCATGGCAATCTGGGGACAAGGTTCGGGGTCACCCACTGCCCTGGCCTCAACACCATATGTCAATGTCAGACGGGAGCGGTGGCCACCCCTCTTTCCTGAGTGGCCAGAGGATGATGGACCCTCCCCCTGACAGAAAGGACTCAGGAGAGATCTCCCAGGGGCTGGAGTGAGGGACAGCCCTGTGACCCCTCCCTAGGGCTGCCCTGTCCCCAAGGCCCCTCACCGGGCGGTAATCCAGATCGGTGAGCTCCTTGAGGCCCCCGCGCAGGAGGTCCAGCCACTCTCGGTCACCTACTGAGTTCTCCTGGGTCCCAAACACGTAGATGTCGTGGGGTATAGTCACCGTGACCTCGTCGAGGGTCTTCCCCAGACCCTTCGACGTGAACCAAGATGTCACGTGTTTTGGTGGGGGCACACTTCCTGGAGGGGGAGGGGACGGGGATGGGGAGTCAAGCCTCGGCCCTGGGCTTCTCCCCGCCCCCAGCCCCTCCCCTGGCACGCAGGCCTGACCCATGTTCCAGGTGCCTATGAAGACGGAGATCATGTCGGGCTCGTCCTGCTTGGAGTGCTTATTCTTCATGATCTGCAGCAGCTGGCAGAAGGCCTCTCGCTTCTGGGGGGACAGCAGCCCGTCAGGGATCCCCCTGCCTCCACCAGGGATGCCTGGCTGGGTAGCAAGTACCCCCTACTCATAGTAGGGGCTCAATGTGTGTTCACCGAGTGCCTATTTGATCCCACTCACCCTCAATAAAGATATTCTCGACTCTGCCAGACCCACCTCTGCCAGGGTGTGTGTGTG